ATATATATATATATATATATATATATATATATATATATATATATATATATATATATATATATATATATATATATATATATATATATATATATATATATATATATATATATATATATATATATATATATATATATATATATATATATATATATATATATATATATATATATATATATATATATATATATATATATATATATATATATATATATATATATATATATATATATATATATATATATATATATATATATATATATATATATAGTTTATTTATTTTCTCATTTTGTTAACTTTTATTTACAAATTTTAAAAACTTTTTCACCTCATCTACTGTCTAAGAAGTGTCAACTTTAAAATGTATATATATATATTTTTTTTGGAGATTCTTTAAAAGATTTACAATCATAAACGCAATTTTTCACAAAAAAAAAAGTTTGGCTGAGAGTTAAAGGCTTGATATTTTTTAAATGTTCTTCAAACCAAAATGCTGGCCACTTTACACAACGTTTATTTTTAAGCGTATGCAGCGGTTTCACAAACTAGAAAAAGCACAGAGTGCTGAAGACGAAACATTTAGGCTCAAATCACCGGCAGTCATTTTCCAAGTGTGATTTAAAATCTTGAAATGAGAAGTAAATGAAGCAGCAATCAGCCGTTCCAGCTGTTCTGAAGTACAGCATTAAGATTCAGCCGCAAAAAAAAACAGCTTTCCCACATCTCCACCGAGGAATTTCCTTGACTTTTCTCATTTTCATGGCATCTGCAGGGTCACAGTGGATAAAGATGTTTCTGGAGCCCTTAGAGGAGATTGCAGGGCAGCTTTTCATTCGTATTCCCTGTCAGGTAGCAGGACTCGGCATCCGGGGCGTCGAAACAAAGCGAAAAAATAGGAGGAAGACATTATAAATCTCATCAGCCTCTCTTGAGGAGCGGGACAGGGTTTTAAAACGTCTCGTTGGCATTCATGAGAGACACCGTTTGAAAGCTTAAACATTACTAAAGTTCAATAATCAGACCTGAAGCTTTGAATATAAATTGTTGTGGGTTTTTTTCTACACTTG